CCTCCACAAACCACACATGCAGACTTGGCACGAGGGCCACACGCTTGCATCCTCATGTACCATTATTTAACTACATTAACTGATGGCTATATTAACCTATAGTAAGTAATTTTGTAAACTTTAAGGATGGTAATGAGCAACAAGAAAAGCTTCAGAGAAAGGGGTTGTTCAAGACAAAATTATTCACAATGATTCCCCCATTCACATCTTCATGATTTCCCCCACTCTAAATCTACATCCATCAACCAAATCCAAAGCAAAAGGTAACTGGGGGTACAGTGCCCTTTTACTTTTTATTGCACTGAAAAAAACGTTGGTCAATCATGATTCGTATTTCTCTCTCTCTCTCTCCATTCGGACATAGCTTAATAGTTTATATTGGCAAGTAGTTCAAGTACAAGTGAGTTTCTACAACACTGAAACATTTTAGGTAGTTATATGCAACAATGCACAAGTCGGCATTTTTGGTGAGATCATGAAAAATTGCTTAGACGTTATATGCTTTCTCAGCTGTAAAACAAGTTATTCCTACAATAGCAGCAATGACCCGTTTTGGGATTTTGCTACACTTGGGAGAAAATACAAACACCTCAATTTCAGTATTTCAGGGGAGGATGCATAAAGTTCCTACCCACTAAAGCTGACCATGTTAATGTAGGACCATAACGAATGCTCTTCAGAAATGAGAGAAGGGAAGAAACAGAATCAGCAAATAATTCCAGCAGTACCCAAGGCAGAAATGTCACACACAGAGATCCTATTCTCTTTTTCTGTATACTGTAAGGTAACATAAGGAAAACAGGAAGGGAAGGATGGAATTTGTTGTTGTCACATTCATCTATTAGGTTTTCATTGACTGTCATTGCTCCTGTATCAGGAGCATTCATAACAATTAAAACTCACATGATGAAGTAAAAATGAATAATCATAAATCCTATTTGTAATCAAAAATAAAAATACCTTTGAGTCTCTATTCCTGTTCATATGCAAACACACACATAAAATATTAAACAAAGAAAGCTGCAAGACAAAACACTGGCTTGTTGAGAAATCAGCAGTCCTTCCATCTTGTACCAAGTCTTGCAGCAGACTGTTGGACTTGGTGCATTCCAGAAAACATTCAGGAAATAGGAGATACAGTGCCAAGAGTATTCAGGAACTAACAGAATGGGAATGGTATCATTTATGGTCCATAAGTTACAAATGAAAAATGAGAAAGTGTGAGTTTATATAAGCATATGTATATATATATATTTATAAATATTTATATTATATAATTTACCATGAGGACATGCAATTATTGGTATAGCACCTATTATACAATATCATACAAGGGAATAGGACTTTCCAATGTTACAGTTTCTTCAGAAAAAACAGGTATACTCTACCTATTGCGTTCCTCTGTAGTGCTCGAAACCTGAATGAAATTAAGGTTCCACTCTGTGCTACATTATGTATGGGGAACAATATACATATTCATAGTAAGAAAAAAATCAACATAGTCTGACAGAGCAAGTGAAATTCAGTGCAGCTCCAGGGCAGCTTTAATGCAGCATTAAAATGCGTTAGCTCAGAGACAAAATATTCCCTTTTTAGTTCAAAGGTACTCATTTGGCAGAGGTTAAATAAAAAAGCACAGATGCTGGCTGGAGAGGCATGTGATTACAGCAAGCAGATCAGGAACTGCCCAGGTACCTACACAAGCAGCCTCTCCAGGACAGGTACAACTCGGGAGAGCTGCTGCACCTTCCTCAGGCTTGCTTTCCTGTGTGCTGCTCTTCTGACCCCTGTGCTCTTCTGAACAGCCAAGGGTGCTACAGCTGAAGGCTTCCCTCCAGGGGTTCTGTACAGCACAAGAGTTTAAGCAGCAACTACCAAAAAAAGTAGGAAAAACTGGACACCATGTACTGACAGACAGTGACGCTTGGCTATCGAGGAATCATTTGGGTAAAAGAATGACAAGAATCCGAGATAAAAAATATCTCGGATTTACTTTCTATATATTCTACTTTAATGAGTAATAATCTTACCTAGATTCTGTAAGGCTTTGAGCATATTTTTTGTTACCTGCAGCCTACCAAGTTCACAATTTAGACACCCTTCCTATCTCTGAGAACACGTTCATGTTTCAACTTTCAGGTGTATATAAATGAATAAAAAGCAAAAGCATGTTGGTAATTGTCTCTGCTTTTTACAGCTTCTTAGCCTGGATTCAATAGCAAGATAGTGACACCATTAAAAAGATCAATGGCTTAAGTGGTTCATAACTAATAGAATAAGCATAGCTAGCAGGAACAAGGGATCTTTGTGCATTTTAGTAAGGGGAAAAAAAAAAGTTTCTGTTTCCTGATTCTCGTTCCTGTTCTTGCATACATTGCAATTTACTGCAAATCTGCACATCCCATGAAGTGCAGATATAGCTCTCATTTTCCAAACAAGATTTTTTTTCTTATTCAACTAGATATCTGTAGAATTTGAAGTATGAGAGATCTAGCTAAGAACTAGATTCTTGGATCCTAATTAGCACTAAAAAAACGTACTATGGAGCATCGCTATAAAAACATCTTGACAAGTGTTAATAGTCATTCTTAAAATGCTATCGGTCTCCAGAGGGAGAAGGAATATGATACTTCTCTATGTAGGGAGTTCTGTGCCATGGCAGATATGGGATAAGATGAGCACTGAGCGACTCAGAGATGTGTGCAGCTCAAAACGGAAGAGACTTATAAGGTAGAAATTCCATCATCTTCCAAGTCATGTGCTTATTTAAAACTGCAAATACTTGCCTGAACAGTACTTATCTCCCCAGTGATGGTGTCATTTTGGGAATAAAGTTTTCAAGTTTTCTTATATACTCCTCGAGACAGGCCTTACAATAATTAGGCCAAATCTTCTAGCTAGACAAACTAAAAACATAGAAATACATATCCTTTTAAAACACTCACCTCAGAAATATTTTTCACTTTAAATACATTGCACCTCTTCAACTAACTAGCCATTCTATCCCTGGTCTTTACCTTGCCTCCCCCCGATCTGCTTGCTGCCTGGCCACTCTTTTACACAGTAGGTTTTGTCATGAATAGTCTATGACGTTTACTTTCTTTCGAAAGCTCAGATACAACACTTTTTTTTTAAAACTTTTTTGATTTTTTTTTAAATACACAGTACACAGACACAACATGCATTGGATTTAGGAGACTTTACAACTGTCAAGGCCCAGTTCCTATCTGCTAAGCTTACTGGCTGATTTGCTCTTTCCCACAGCAGTTTTAGTGTTTGGGGAATGGTGGAAGGAACTGCCGGATCCTTTCAGACCATTCTTGCTCGGTTTGCTGCAGCAATGCTCTTGTTGGCAGGATCTCCTAGAAGATGAGGAGCCTGAATGGCTAGGAGGTGACTTACTCCTCCCAAGATGTGGGGATGAACTCCTCTGATCATGGTGGGGTCTCCCAGGCCGGGACGGAGAAGAACTGGCAGTACGGGGTAAGGAAGAGCTCCTAGGGGAGGCACTGGGACTGCGCCGGGGGATGACAGGGCTTTTGGGTGGTGTTTTGGGACTATGTGGAGACCCTGGGCTCTTACACTGAGTAGAACTGCGTGGTCGTTGAGATCCGTTCTGCAGTATTTGAGCCAGACGTGAGATAAGATCCGAGTCCGAGCTGCTACTCCCTAGGACTCTGTATCTGCGTAACCTTAAGAAGAAATGAAAAAAGATTATTTCTGCCCCCAACTATTTGCAAAAGTTTACACAGAAACCCAAAGTTAGACATCTGGATTTATTTTTTTTCTATAGATAGAAGTGCTTTGATTTAGATTTTGGCCTGTGTAGTTCACATCTCCACAGTATTACCATTTGTATAAACTCAGTCACAAAAACAGTCAAGCATTTACAAGAAAATTGAGCTTTCCAGATGGCACTGGAATGAACACACTGAAGCTCAGTGCTTATCACCTCTGTTTTGGATGGATCCAACCATCCCTGTACACCATCCATATGCTGTATGCACAATTACAAGACCCACCACAACTTCCTCCTTCAGAACATTTCACACTACTGATTATATCAAAGCTGTCCTTTTCCTGATAAGCCAAGCACTGAAGAAACTATATATATAGAGACAACCTCATCGTCTATACAGAACTGGTAAAGGAGGGCTTCTAGAGTTCACTCTGGTCTTCAGTATATAGCTGTTCTTACTTAACCATGATGTGAACATGTTATTACTTTAATTCTGATGGCTGAAATATCGACACCCAACTACTTAAAAATTCTAAAATAAAAATAGTTTAACTTTCAAAAGGGCTGGATATAAGAGATCCTATTGATTTCTATGGGTTTGTGATGGTGTCCCCACTTTAAGAAGTTTGAATAAAGTAACTTTCTTAATAGTTAAGCAGGCACTTTCTTCTGTAACAACCTCTCCTCATTCATCCCCAAAACAAGTAAGATTTATCAGGGAATTCAAGCCCAGCATTAAAAAAAAAAAAGGAGAAAAGAAAAGAAAAAAAAAGTTTACCAAGGATGGAACATCTACATGATTAGCTACTACATATTTATTGCAGTCTAGCTCAAATACATTTTCAAACTGACTACCTATCATTTTCTCTGTATTACCTAGCTTCTACCCCAGGCCTAGTAGGTGGTTTTCCTGGTGGGGGCCGAGGAAAGAACTGAGCTGAACTCGAACTGGTGACTTGATCAGCGGTTGCCCAGGATACTGGCCTTGGAATCTTGCTCTTCCTGGACTGAGGGCTGCTTGGAGATAGGGAGCTATCTTCAGTCTGTTTGCTGAAATGCGAGTCCAGCGTTAACCTAGAAAACGAAGATAAGACATCATCCTCAGAAAATGGTACTGGAGCAGCAGCCACTTTTTCCTCCAGTGACTTGTCGGAGGCACTTGAGAGGTCACCAAGGAAAGATCTGAGCTGTCTCTTCTCTACAAGCAGTCTGACCAAGTCTGTCTGATGGGCCTTTTTTAGAAGAAGCTTTTCCTTTGCTGAAACAGGTGAAGAGGAATCTGACGTTGAGTCTATCTCTTGTGCTAAAACTGGAATTCGGCTCTGCCTGAACACAAAAGGAGATTTAACTAAGTCCTTTTTAGATCGATGAGAATTCTCAGTCTCTGAAATGCAGTGGAATAATTCTCCATTTCTGGGAGCATTTTTCTCCTTTTTGTCCTCCTGGTGCAAAAAAGTAGTAAGGGCTACCTGGTGGCTTTTCAAGTCTTGGATATGTACTTGTTCCTTATTATTGTGAAAACCATTCTCCTGAACTGGTGCCTTTTTATTTGTCTGTCTGCTAGTATGCAAGCTGATAAGTCTTGAAGGAGAAACTTCTTGTGTTTTGGGTACTGTGGACTTCAGAAGCTCATCCGGATTTGGCACTGAGCAGAGAGGCCTTGGCTTTGATTCTTCGGCAGCTTCAGTGTTGGTTAGAGGCTCTTCTTCCACAGATTTTGACTTTCCTGGTAAAGAATTTTGTTCTTTGTCTAGCATTTCATTGGCATCCTCAGAAACCACTGGAAGCTTTTCTTCCTCAGATTCTACAGGAAGATTTTCAAGCTCTTTATCTTCCTGTCTCCTGCTATGTGCTTCACGCATGTCCTTTTGGCCACAGTCCAGGAGTTTAACACATTCTTTACCATGTCTGTCCCCTTCAAGGACCTCTTGGCCGATACAAAATACCGAATCTGGTCTGCCAGCACTAGTAGGAAGTACCTCTTCTGTCACAACCAAACCTGGCAAATTTTCCTTTGGAGAGGAAAGTTCCACAGTGTGTTCCACAGACTGAGCATCACGGTCTCTTTTCTCTAGCTGGTGGCCGCAATGAAAGCTCTCTGAAGCAGACTGCGTGGATGCCACCGAAGGTCTGGGTATTGTTACCTGCATGGGGAAATTTGAGAAGAAGGTGAGAAATGCAGGAATTTTAGGTTATCTATATAACTTCCTTTAAATTGCATTGATTCCATGTTTTCAAGATACATTATATAATGATTTCTATGATTCGCGACGCTCAAAGAGGACTTAGCTTCGCAAATTACATTTAGATAATAATAAAATAAAATACTCAGTTGTCTCAAGACAGAAATGTGTAACAGGTGAAAACAAACATAACCATAGTGGAAAAGTTGCATTACCAATGAATCTCCTGAAAAAGAGATACAGCCTAAGAGGTAAGCTTTTTACTTCTTTATTATTTTTAATATTTTTAGAAAAAAAAGGATAACATTTACATAAATAAGAAAACTTTAACAAATATATAACAATACTTTTAGACAAGTACAGAAGACAAGGGACTGTGTTTTACAGACCAAAATGAAAGCATTGAGGTCCAGATTCTGAAAGGGACTTAAATTTCAATTTAGGCAGAACTTACTTTGTTAACAAAACAATTCATAAAAATCTTATCTACCTAATTGAATATAACAGTACCTGTAATGCAAAAATACCTCCAATTTGTTCAGAAAGTTTTCCTGAGGGCCCACATTTTAGCTATTTCCTTCCCTTTAGATGCTTACGTCTTGTTTAAACCAAGCAGGTCAGGAATTCTCCTTCACCTCACTAAGAGGATCACTAATTATTCACATATTTAAAACCTCTGAGGATTGCAATCCAATAGGCAAGCTTAATGCAGTCCTGCAACACATATATGGAATTAATTCAGGATAACTTAAAAAAAAAAAAAAGAGTTGGTTATGCTGGATGCTGCTGCTGGTACATAGCTTAGACGTTAGCGCACACGTCCAGGACGTGGGAAACCTGCGTTCGGGCCACTCCCCAGCCTGAGGGGCATTAACCAACTTTCCATCGGCAATGGACAAAACCAGGCAGGGATACTTCTCAGCTTTCCCATGGGAGTTGGGAACTGCACAGAAACACTGAAGTCATGATGTTGGAGTATGAGAGAACATACACGGGCCTCTATGCTCAAATGGCTTATAAATATTGGATTGAGTTACTTGATAAAATGAATAAACAGGAATAAATGCAGTGGCCATCCTTACATTTTCCTTTATGCGGACATAAGAGTTCAGCAACTTTTTTGCTCTTCTGTTCTTGAATCTTGTGGATCTGATACAGTTTTGCATTTGTAACACACAGCAGAAAATGGAAAAGACTGGAGTTTGGGTTTGGACACAGAAACATCCTTGGTGGTAAACAAGAAGATTAATGATGGTCCAGTTCCAATGCTGCCAGGGTTCTGCTGTGTGACAAGACAGATTTCATTGAACTCGTTGCAGAAATTACCTAGAAGTGCTGCGGAGCTTAATGGGCTGAGTGGGCTACCAAGAGCTATAGCCTATTGGTACCACTAGATGGTAGAAAGCAAGCTCCCCTATCAGGACCTGTCACCATTTATACTGTACACTCAAACTTCACATATGCAGAAGCGGAAATGGTAAGTGATAGTGAAGGGCATATACTGTCATGGGAAATCTGAAATAGCTGTATTAAACTATTGATGGTTTTGTACATTTTCAAAGTCCTCTATAACCAAATTTCCATCAATATATTTTCTCATTTACCTCCACATAACACAAACGTTCAGCTGATACTATAAATGGTTCACTAGAACAAAATATGAAACAAAGCAGACTTTGGCATTGAACTTGAATAAACAGGACAATCACTTATGGTAACAAAATTATTCCTATATTGTAAAACATAGTCTAATATACCTGGTGGAGTTTTGCACTTTAACCTAAGAAACATGGAATCCAGAAGTCATGCACTTGCATGCTTTGCATTGCAAGTTTTCAGAGGACCATTGAATTTGTAGGAAAGGTGTGTTTTTTTGTGGTTTCATGTATGAGATGAGTTGTTAGGCTGTTGAAAATGGCTTTTTCATTGGATAAAGAAAAAGGGGAGAGTGCAATGGTTTTGCCAAGTAGAACCAAGTTGTCTGTAGCATCTGCCCTAAGTAAAGACTTACTGGAGCTGGGGAGCAGGGACAGCCATCGAGACCTCCAGCAATAAAATTATTTTTGTCTCCCCAATAATTCGTATCCAATTTTGGACCAGCACAGCCCCTTCATGGGTACCCTCTTGCTTGCTGAATTAAAATGACACTGAAGCTGAGAAGCTGAAGTTATATTGTTCTAGGAAAGTCTAAGCAAAACACTCCTCTTCGTCTCTTATTCTCAGTCTGCTTCCTTCATCCGAAAGAAATACTACTTCCCTTTCTGAGTAATTGCAGTCTTTCTTACTGCAGAAGCTTTTTAATGAGAATCCAGGCATATGAGCTCAGCCACAGAAAACAAAGAGGAAGCAGAATTTTTCAAACGCTAATTTCCAGGAAGATGAATCCTTACTAGCCCTGTGAGACTTCTATGGCTAATTTTGTTCAACACTGAAGCTGAGAAGCAAAGACTGCAATGTGATGTTGGCAACTCATTTAAGTAGCATTTGGGGAGTAGAATTTAAATTGCTGACTATCAGCTTACTGTGAAAATCAGCTAGTAAAGTTACTACCCAACTGCCATAATCCCCGCACTTCGAAAGAAACTCTGTGATACAGTATATTACTAGAAAAGGTTGAGACAATATATGGAACAATGAATTAAATGTTTCTTTCTGAAATATTTAAATGAAATTATTGCCATCATGCTCCCAAATCCTTAGGCCTCCCTAAAACAATTTCCTAATTCCTTCCTGAGTTCTCAAATTAGCACTTGACTGACACAAGAAATTAGACTGCATTTTCTTTGAGAAACTTTACAATACACTGACCAGGATGTTAATCAGGAAAAAGAACAAAACAACAGAAATCTACTGGACATCCCACATGATATCTGACAAACTCTCCTCCCTTTAGACCTTTGACATGCTGCAATAGCAAGTGACATGCTTGGATAAAATCCTCTGTGAATGGACACAGCAAATTGCAGAGAAGTGAAATATGGGCTTTTGGTCTGCAAAGCTGGTAGGCCTCAGAGATGTCAAGTTGTGACCATGGGTGATTATACAGTATCAGCAGGCAAACATCCAAGCCCTCAGCAACAGGTTTTCCCTCTGCTCATGTTGTCCGCTCCTCCTACAGGACTGGCAAGAGCCGACAGCACCTCAGGCCCCTTCAGGCCTTTCAGCTAATCCTGTCATTATTTTCTAACTTCTCACATTAACAAACCATAAGCACATTACTTGCCATTCAAGACACCTTAACCTGATCCATTTATTCTGTAGACCTTCCTTCCTGTTCAGTAAAGTTTTTGTATTTATGCAAATAAATCTCATGCATCTCTTCTCTTCTCTCTGCTTCTGCTCTTCATCTCTCTTTAGCCTAAGAGTCTACATGTGTTTAATTTCTCCCTCCTTACACAATTATATACTTCTGCAAAGAAATTTGAATTGAAGTTTGTATGAGAGTAAATAAAATGTTATTGCACTAGTGTTATTCTCGCATGGGTAAACTATCACTATTCTCGCATGAAACTATGAGGCAACGTTTAATTCTAGGTCATCACTGTGCTGTTGTCAGGATCTTGTTGGAAGCATCATGCCCACGCGGGGTTAGCAGCAGCAGTAACAGTTAAGATTCACATGAAGAAGCAGCTGCTTTCCGCTTGCTCACAAGCATGCTCCATAGACACCCTTTCCAGCAGCCACATCCAGAGAGAGCAGTGCTGGGGCCCTTTCTCTTTTCTTTCAATATTTCACTCCTTTTTGCACAAGGGTTTATAGTTGCAAAGTTTGGAGATGCAAAGGTATGATTACAATCCAGCTCCTCTTTTAAAAACAAAATAACTAATACTCTTGGCTGCTGTCATGCTACACAGTTTTGCCACTGAGAACAGTGCTGATGATAAAAAAGGTATAGCTCCATGAAGTGGCTAAACACAGCCGATCCCAATCAAACACTCAACAAATTTATAGCATATGTTGCTAATAGAGAGCATTTAAGCTCCATAAAAGTACTTACAGGGGCACTATTATTCTGATTCTGTTTTGGTTCTTAGCCTGGTAATATTAAGATCAGATACACCAATAAACTAGCATCACTATAAAAAAATCTGAGAGCCCTCTGCACATACCATGTTCTGCGTTTAGGAGCTGATTAAAAGTGCTCAGAGCAGCTACACGTTTGTAGCTAGGCAATGAGTAAGAAAGAATGTATCAAAAAGGTGGGTTAGTAGGAAAACTAAAAATAGTTCAAAATAGCTGCAGGAGAGCTAAATAAGTTTGAGAAACACAGATAATTATTCCCTAACACAGTGCATAACTAGACCAAAAAAATATTTAAGGAGACTATATGATAAAGAGACTTATTTTAATACAATTAAGATATGTCAAGAAGATGCTGTGGGGATTCTTCTAGCCTACTAAGTACCTAACGCTACTGCACAACCAAAAAGAAGGATTTGTAAAAATATTTTGGTTCAGAGGGACATAAAGTACACAAGGTCTTGATTGATGGAATGAATGAAGGAATCATGTGTTTGTAGTTTCCACAGCAAGTGAAAACCTGCAAGTTAAATTCTCAGGAGGATCAGGAGTGCCAACATCACAGCTTGAGGAGGAGTGCAACAGACATAGACTTACCATGCAAAAAGAAAGAAAAGGCTGAGAGTGCTTTATGTAATTTTCTCCTCTCTCAGCTTCACCCCACTGGGCAGCAGTACCAGGCACAATATCAACTCTTTTTCACAGACAAGAGAGTGGATCACATTGCAGCCCCTATTAATATTGCAGCTGTATCCATCTGCTGGCTGTAAGGAATCCAGGGAAGACCCTTTGTGCCAACCTACTTGTTTTGCGGATTGTGAGCAGCTTGCTAATTACATCTGCAATTCCACATTCTGACGGAGAAAGATTAAACTAAACTGTGGATGTACCGTTTAAAAACAAAATTAGGCCATTTTGCATCCTGGGATAAAAACTAACCCTGAGAAATACTGAAGCATAATTTCTATTGAGTTTACTTCGCCTATGTCTTTTTCCCTAGACAATATATCAGCCATTATGAAGAATGTGGTATTTTGATATCCTATCACGTTCATGATACTGAACATCTGGGAGCTACCATTCACCCATTTCCATTTTTCAAAAGAAGAGGAACTATGATTTTCTACTGAGATAAAAAGCAGCCAGGAGTTACAGGACAAAAGACTTATTTTGACAAAATGCTGACATAAATATACTAGCTACATTGTTTGCCTTGTTACCACTCACCATTAATCCTACTGAAGTCTGAAAGAAGTTAACGCCGAATTTTTAATTCAATATTCTTTTGCACATTTCACAGAAAAAAATATAAGCTTTTTATATAGAAATATTTACAAGAAAATATGTTGGAAATAAATGACAACAGAAAATATAATCCAAATGAAATATTAACGGTGTAATGATGATGACGTTATAGTCTTAAGCATTAGTGCTACGTCATACTGCTTTAATAGTCAACACAATCTGACACTGCTTAGCAAATCTCAATGTTTTTGTAACTAATACATAAATTATGGTAAACATTAATTATGATCCTACATAATCTTCTTTTTCTTACTGAAAAGAAACTGAGAATACAAAGCAATGAACCTGCTACTTTTCACAGGGACATTTTCTTTAGGTACTGCCCCTGACAACTTCCAGGTTTCACTAATTCCCAAGTTGCACTGTATAGGCTACAAACACTATAAAGAATCATATGTTCTTGATGCTCAAAGAAGTAATGTCACCAATGCTGGATCCTATATTTTCTCACATTAAAATAATTTTAGCTAGTCTATGTTTTACTGTGCATTCCCAGTTTAAAATCCACATGGGAGTGATTATAGGAAATCACACGCACACACAAAAGAGATTTTAATCTTCATTTTGAAGTAAGCAAAAACGTATTTTCTAAATTTTATAATCCAACCTTTCCCAGAAAAAGTCCCTCTGAGAAAGCAATTCTGTTTTCCACAACATCCAGAGATGTTTGATGCTCCAGATTAGAATAGCAAATCTTTAACCATTCCAGACTCTAATTTTACCTCTTCTAGGTAGGACAACTTGTTTTTCTCTTAGAGTATTCTTGACTCTTCTCCTTAATGAAAATCCATTGCTACTCTCCCCAACTTGATCTCTCTAAATACTTCCCGAGATGCTGGCTATCGTAGAGCAGTATGACTAGCACATGCTTACTCCTGAAATTTGCAGAGCAAATTCATATATTTCATTTGTGCAGATGACTGCTGCAATGCAGCCCCTTTTATGAAGACAAGGCGTATTCACCTGCTGCAGTTGTGCTTTTGAGATGCGAATGACAGGGGGGAACTTGTTGCCACAGGGAATGACAGGAAGTTGCCTCCGGCCAGCTGAGCAGGAGGCCGAGGAGCGGCTCCCAGCTGACTGACTCCTTGGGAAAGCAGCCTCCCTCAGAGGGTCCGAGTGGATGGATAAATAGGCTATAGGGCTCATGGTGCGGAGGATGGGGCTTGAAATTCTTGGAGTGGAGAAATGCAGCATGTGAGATGAGTTGAGCTGTGAGAACAACACGGTGGGGAAGAAAATAAGTTTTTAAAATCAGTATTTTAAATTATTGTTGATGTGCTGCCTATACCCATTTCCTTAGAAGTCCATATTGCCAGCTCCCTCACAGACAAGGAATTACTTCATCTTGAACGATATGGCTCAAGCATTTAAAATCAAAGCACCACAGAGAATAGGAATTGGGACAGACCGAGGGTTTGCAGTGCCAAGGGAAACTCCGTGAGTAGCGGACATTTCTGGACACGTTATAGAAAACAGCTATTCACAAATGAGGGTCGCATGCACAGAACAACTTCAGGTTGACAAAGCACTTTGAAAAAGAAGGAAAAGAGTTGTTTTTATCAAACATGTCTTTGGTCACCAAAGATTTGGAATACAGAGAACTGCTATATGAGGAAGTATATATATATATATATATATATATATATATATATATATATATATATATATATATATATATATATATATATATATATATATATATATATATATATATACACACACACATATAATACATACAATTATGTATGAATGCCTGCCTGTGAAGTGGCTAGGACACTGACCTGTAAAAATACCTAGGTTCCAGTACCCACATCCCAGAGCATCCAAGTTCTTTTTTTGATGAGTTGAAATACCAGAACACCAACAGAAGACAGAACAACTCTTCCCAAAACAGCGTACTGTGCTTTGCTTGCCCTAATTCAAGGACTCATGAAATAAATGCAAAACTACCGCAAAGTGCAATCACATTTGGAACAGACTCACTGAATAGCAATGTCTGGTGATCTGTATTCAGTTTACACATCAAATCAGTTCTATTTTCTTTTATTCCCAGAACAGTTGTATTTTGAGTTCCACATGATTCATCTTCAGCACAGACAAATTCCTGCCGCTCATTTTGCCTTAACAGTATTACTTGCCCTTTCAGGATAATATAAATGTTACTTTCTCCCCTGTTTTCTAGTTCACAACAAATATCCTCCACCTGCTTGCAAAATAGGACTAAAATATAATCTCAGCCAAGTGTTTACTTCAACCAAGGCTTATCCCAAGGCATCTTATAAACCATAGACCTTGTTTATGACTATTTCTATTCTTCTGCACAGACTCTCTCTCTTTCCAGACAACAGCATTGTGCATTACTTGCACTGCAGTACATTATAATTTACATCACCTCTACTTCTAGATCAAGCAAACAAGCCACTTCCCCCAGATGAATTAAATTTATACACGGCAGGACCACGCAGTCGCATGCAAAATAGGAAGCTGTTTCTTAATAGCTTTGGAAATAAAAGCGCCTGATAACTAGTATTTTGCAAAGAACTAAATGCTGCTCTATGTTGCCTATTAAAATTAATAACACAGAAACTGAATGATCAGAAACAACTGAGCAATTCAAATAAAAACAATTGAGTAATTCAAATCTTTTAAAAATCTTTTTATGTTTCTAAACCATCAAAATTTTTGTACAATTGATATTTCAATTTGTCTCAAAATTCTTCTACTGTTTTCATCACAGTTCCATATTTTAAAATCTCCAGAATAAATCTGTAAACTCTATAATTCACAAATACTATCTCTAAATGTATGAGGTATACTCCCTTTCACTTCCCATGAGACTCCGACTTTATTTGAAGCTTTACTTTATATTAATTACATTAAATACAATATATTAAACTTGTTAATTTTCACCAATAAAGGATATCCCAGACCTTATAATAAATGACTGACTGCCAAAAAGCTTCCTTTTTTACATAGCAGGCTGTCATTTTCAAATAAAGTGCTGATAACTGGGGGAGAAGTTACAGCCTGGCTTCTTGGCTCAGAGAAGCTTGAAAGAGTTGTCCTTTTGGCACACAGTATCAACTGGAGTGAGAGTAGAAATTAACCCAGCAGCTGATTCTCAAGTCTTTGTTTTAACTATTTATCTTACTTCCTTTGTAAGTGAAGCCAAAAAAGTCTTTGTAAAAATTAGTACCAGAGGAGGAAAGATAGTAAGCTTCCTAAACCTGTGCAAATGAGAATTCTTTAGGAAAGATTAAAATGCACAATAAAGAAGCAGCAGCAATGGAAGTAAACCAGTCTGTCTCAGGATAGAGAAACTCTGGGAGCAGAGCAGTAGTTGCAGAATTATCTTGGAAGTGTAAAGTAGCAAAGACTCATAAAAGCTGACAAGTAGTTTGTGCAAGAGACAACCGTGATTTCAGAAAGGCAGACATTATCATGAGATTAAAACAGAGCAGGAAGAAACAGAGGAATTTCCAAAAAACAAAAAACTGTATTAGTGATGGTAAAAGTAAATATTTTTGTTTCTTTAATTTCAGCCATTCAAGCTTTTCCTGAAATACACTGAATATTGTGGCATAATATTTTACATATTCATTCTAATTTTGTTGTTACGTACTGCAAATATAATAAACATATTTATATGTTTATCTCTCTTTAATGAGAAATCATCATCTTAATAAATGCATTTTAACTAAGCCCAGTTTTGTGGTTCATACACGGCAGAGCTAACAGCGAATTTCATGGAAAAATGTAAACATATTCAGCAGAACATGCATGATTATTTTTGAAGATTCAAGTTACCTACCTGAAGACCTAAGAATTTCTACTGCACTATTATATTGTTGGCAATGCCTTTTCACTAACTACATCTTCAAACAATTCTAAGGGTAGATGCAATAAAACAACGCAACGATCGCTTCTCTTACCGGAGTGAGCGCTCCTTCTGCTTGAGCCTCCATAGGACTTGTAGGGGTGGCTGCAAGAAGCTGTCCAGCAGCTCCGGCCAAAAGTTCCAATTTATCGGTAAGCTGATCGGAAGTGGCCGGATGACACTCCATGGCTAGAACTAACTCCACTCCTGAGGTCTGGTTCTTCGTACGGATGCTGTTTCCTGCCCTATCACCCTGCCTGGGCTGCTCTTCCGGAGGGGACTCCTCCAAAACTTGTAATACCTCAGGCTCTTCATCTGAGGGACTTCCAGTCATTTTGTGTCCCGCAGCCTCATTTGTCCTGAAATCCTGCAAGTCCCGTTCCTTATCTATTATCACCCATTCTTTGGAATCAACCTCCTGCCTGCAGGAGCTTAAGTTGACAGCAACAAATCCATTGCTAACACCACCATCAACATGTTCTGGAGAACTAGCTGACGCAGGCTTCGAGGCATCTGGAAGGTATTCTTCATCGTAGTGCCAAACATGGTCCATGCGGGCAGCCACTGGAGCAGGAACAGGTATTTTCTGAGAAAGAGGAGGAACAGCAGCAACAGCAGTCTCCGCTGCAGCATTCAAATCTTTCTGCATCTTCTCCAAACTTAAGAAGTTAAAAACAGAATTAAATTAGAATGAATTAAATGCTGTAAATTACATCTGAATTTTGTCATTAGAGAAAAATTAAATCTATATAAAAATGTATTGACAATTTTAGAGCAACTTGAAAATTCCACAGTTTCAAATAATTCCGTAGCTTAACCTAAGGAGAAGACACACACAGAAATAAGAAAGCATTTATTTCAGTGTGATGTTTATTACCCTCTTCGTCAAAAGATAACTCTTATGTCAGGCAAAAATAGATGGATGGTATTAGAAATTCACACAAAATTTTAATTTTCAATTGGCCTGACAGAACAAGAGAAAAAATATTATGTGGATAACAAATCACTGGTCACACTGCCAGATGATGTCCAGTGTAAAGTTATGCTGCAAAGCAGACACTCAAAGCCAAGAAAAAGAAAGATGTCTCCAACAGGTGCTAGAAGAGGCTTTCAAGAAGGATCTCACTCATTGTTTTGAACAAACTTGACTTAAAAATAATGTTTGAATACTTCAGTATCTGTTTTTTGGTATTATACAAACAAGCAAAGTAAAAGATGAACTGAGTGCACTATTCTGAATTCTTTTTTTCTGTTATATATAAGTAAGTTCCTCCATTCTTGCTTCAGTTCTGCAGGATATACTGCAGTTCATTTTATTCTCTGAAGCACAATATATTCCCTTTTCTGTCAGAAGTTTATTGAAAAACAGTAATTAATTTTTTTCAGAAATGTAAATGTCTCCTTTTGAGACATTTAGTTAGAAAGGAGTGAAGAAATAACTAAGCATGACTTCCATTACTCTTCTGTGACACACATATAACTTGGTTATGGGCAGAGGAAGACAACTCCACATCTCAGATTCCAGTGTTATAAAAATCATTTTTAATCACTTTTAAAATTTTAAATACTCCTATTAAATCTTAGCTCTTTCCTGAACACTGTTAAAGTTTTACATTCATTATTTATGCTTTGCATCACTTACTTGATCAAATTCAAATTTCTAACCCTCTGTGACATACTTAGCAGAATTTTGCCACTGTCAAAATCTCAGCTATCTTCTTCAGTGTACCCACTGACCCTCTAAGCTTTGTTTTTCAGTCATATTTCAATATGTCCTTCTTCATTTACTCTTTCTATCCGTGAGCACATTTACTGAGTCTGTTCTCAAACACCTATCTCCTTTTTACCTTTGAAATCCTTTTTACACACTCTCTCTTCTAACAGAATTATTTTATGTTGGTGCAACAACTTTGGGCTTAACTAAATCTGGTGCAGGAACAGGTAGATTTCTAGATTTTACCTCTATCGAACATTTGAGGTTACCATTCTTATTCAGGATGAGTAGTACTAACCCTCATATGTATAATACCTTTTCCCTCACTGGGATACTCTTGTGTTACACCATTAGATCTTGAAATAAAAAAAAAAAAATCAGGAGTGCAAAGCTAACTTTACCTGTATATTAGCACATATTTTAAAGAATGTATTTTGTATATATAAATTTTACATACATATATGATCCATATACATGTATTTTAAAGAAGACAACTAGCAAAAGTTGTTAATCGAGCAATATTATGAACAAAATAAATACTAACTGATGTAGCTTCCATGAGCATTACTCAGCAGTTCTATTTCCAATTCTCCCAGGGTAAATTGATTCAGTAATAGGGGAAAGATGATACTATCTTAACTTCATATCTCAAAAAGATCTAAGTATACAAATAAAATCAGAAATAACTTCTTTACCAAGTCTCAAGAAATTTATCGGTGTCTGGCTTTGACTCCAGCATTAGCCGCTTCTCCAGGTCGAAGCTGTGAATTGAGCGCAACTTTCGCACCAGGGGGACATCTCTGTCCAGCTGAGTGGTCTCAGAGCGCACACGAATTGGTGAACCAAGACTCGGTGCATTAAGCATCCCATTCACTGGCCCATGGCTGTTCTCCTCCTCTGTAGCAGCCTGTGCAAGTGAAGCCAAAACAAAGCACCTCACTAGGAGTGGTAAAATAAAGGAATCCAAGCTAAACCCATCCAAGTTTTTAGCCAGTGATAAGCCCATTCATATTCAGAATTGCATGCCATGCTTAACCTAGTTTAGATAGGCTCTTACAAATATCCAAACAGAGAAAAAGTGCCCATATTGCAAATGTTTTGGGTAGGTCTGAAAATGGGACTCTCAAAAGCACGGTGGTATACTTAAATTTACACCGATTTCTCACATCTCTCTCCAAAATACTATTCCATAGTAATCAGGCCCTTCAGAGCACCAATCAATAGTAGTATGACTATATTATTAATTTTGTCATATGTGCATCATGAGAATTGGAAACTGCGCGAAGAGGGTTCTCTCAATCAAAATTTCTAAATACCTTACAGATCCCCAGTTTTATTTTGTTTCTGTTTGCATCCATTTCTTCCCAGACATCTTTTTCCTGAGGACGCTGATGCCCTGGGGACCCAGGTAGTTTCTCTGGTGAGACACCAACTGGAATAACATTTTCTCCATCGCTGAGTTGTTCATCAGGAAACACTTCATCAGTGTTTTCCCGCAGCAAATCTCCCGGGATCGGGGTAGCATTGGCAATTCTACAAAAGAAGTAGAGAGACTCTGTTGTGCTTACTGAAATGTTTTTCCATTTAACTAAACAGGGAAAAAAAAAAACCCAAGAAAGCAAACTTCCATAGAAACACAAATATTGCAAATCATTTAATATACAAAAGCTAAATCTGGGTCTTCACAATTTCCGTATCTTCAATTCAGGCACACAACCAAAGTTATGCAACATACAAATAGATAAAATCTATTTCTGGAACGATTTTTAAAGGAATTTCTGGAGAGAGTTTGTTAAAGCTTGTATCTATTACTAGCTGAGCTATCTTTGGATTGCAGGTTTAAACACAATACAGTTTAGGAAATGACTGACAAGCAAATGAGAATGTATATACAATGTCCTGAGCTATTACTCCTATAAATTAGGTGCTGATTTTTAATAGTGTAAACAGGAACCCCAGAAAGGGAAAATATACAATTACTCTCAGTCTTCCACTCCATTATTTATTCGACATCATGCAGAAGAAACTAACATAGCTTTCCTTTGATGCCCTGTGCTTGCTTTTTAGGAGAACACAGAAAACGTGCACACATACCCAATTGCCGCTGGAGTCAGCCGAGTGTGTAACTGAGGTGTAGTTGAAGTGGTGGTTGTTGTCAGAGAGCCATCAGTTCCACTCTTCTCCCAGTCAAAAGGGTCACTTTCAACAACCCCAAATGTTTTCATGCTGTTGTCAAACACAGACATGAGAAGCTAAAGAAAAAAAATAATAAGCTTCATTTTTGAGTAACAGAAAGGTAAAGCAATTTAGATATATTGTCCTGTAATACTTTAACATACTTCTTTTAATATTTTGACTGACAATTTTCCTGAAAAAAGGGAGGAAAAAATCTAGTTTGTAAAACAAACAAGCAAAAACAAATAAACAAATATCAAGACAAAAAAAATGCTTCTAGCAGTAAAGAGAGGCAAAGAACAAGAAGTTGGCATTTGTGAGCAGATCATTTCAGAAGGGAGTTTAGACAAGAATGTGTATAGGAACATTACACACAGACAGGCACGAGTAAGTGGCTGCAGAACAGAATCCAACAGAGGAGGAGGAAGAAAACACACGTACTAGGCGGCACCATTTGACAGCAAAAAAAGGAACAGGGAGAATGCAGGGAGGCCACTGACTTGCTAATTTATATACTTCTGTCATTAAGAGCCACTTGTCATTTACTGTACATAACGCTAATATCCATTCTACAGACAGAACAAACCACAAGCTTTTCTCCTTAATTTTATTCTATCAAAAAGCATTTAGAATAATTTTTGTTGAAATTAAATCTATTTTCCTCCAGCCTTGAAAAAACTTTGCCACATTGCAGTCACTAGAGGGGAAGCTGTGTCCACATAATGTCATCTTTCGCCCCATAAGATCTCTTCTCATAACATCTAAATTTTTGGTTTTCATTCTTATTTCCCATCTATGATGCTGAATATGAATATGCTTCTTTGACATCATTAAAACATATATCCCCCTTCCAACTCTAAAACAGGTGAGCAATTTCAATAATTTTCTGTGTCTGATGTGATTGTATCCATTTCATCCTTATTTTACAGTTCCTTCCTAATTCTATCCCAGGTAGCTGAGACCCTGCTAAACTGTGCATAAACCCATAGGCTGTTCTCTGTCCTATGCATATTATCCCTTTATTCGCTTCTTCCTGTACACTCTCTGAAATTATCATTAAGGTCAAACCCTTTTAAATCTCTACTACAATTTCTGCTATAATGCAAATATAAATGCAAATTTTTAACTATGCTGGGAGGCTGAGGCAATATGTGCATAAATAACTGCATAAAATAAACTCATCTTACTTTGGCCTATATTACCGAAGCATACGCTCCTCAAAGCAGGGACATCTACCACTTACATGCTTGGTTGGTGCTTACGCATAATTATGAACAAAGAATGATACATATCCAAGAAATGAAAAGTTAATAACAGCAGTTACTGAGAGAGACCAGAGCTTAAATGACCACTGAAAGGAAAACACTTTCCTTCCTACCTCTTCAAACACCTCCATCATACTCCCTAAGACTGTGTCAGAAGGCTCAAGCTCTAACTATACAATTGCAAGTGGTCCACACTGGTCAGAGGACCATAAAGTACTGGGCTCTCTTGCTCACCAAGCAGCTCTGCAGTGGTATCACATTAATCCCTACATAGCATTTGCTATGTTACATACAAGTAGACCACACACCAAGTGTTCACAAAATATATGTATGCATATATATATTATCATACAGGATACATAACATAAATAAAACAATCAGTTTACAACAAGGTTTTTTACACAACATCAGAGTTTCTGCAATCAGTAACTTTTATCATAGGAAGTAATCAGTCTCAGTAATAAAGCACACAAAACACTCAAAACTTTCTTAATAATTTTCCTCAGTTAACAGTAAAAAGTATAGGGTAACATAGACTACCATACTAAGAAAGGTGAAACAAAGCAGTATTTTAGCCTTCAGGAACTTAGAATAATTTCTCTATTCATGAAAATGTATCCCACCAAATGGAATTTTATTGCAAATACACAGTAGGACACATCAGAACATTTAGAGAAATTCTCTGAAAAACAGGAAATTAGTTATCACTTGATATTTCCAGTTCTGATTTAGAATCCTATATATCTTGATTTCTCTGTCAATCTTATCAAGCCAAGAAGAGGAATTAAAACAAGAAGTCAAAACAAACAAATAAGAAATCTCAAGCAAACTGGCATTATGCTGTCTGATCATCTCTATGGCAGAACCAGGAAATTTGGGGTTTTTGTTTTAGTTTTCTTTTTCAGAAGAAATAGTTCAATTGCAATGAATGGATAAAAAAGCTAAAGGAGAAGTAAGCATGTCTTGCAGATACATTTTCAGGCATGTCCAGTGCAATGGCCTCTTGGGAAAAAAACTCATGAGAAACAAGTTATATACAATATAAAATGAACCAATCAAGTGAAGCAAAAGCAGAGTATCAGCTGCTGATCTATTTTTTAGTATTAGTGATGTTGCACAGGTCAGCTTTGAAATGAATTGATGCACTCTTCGAAAAGTGAATTTACATTAAGGTTTATTAGCTTTAGAATTGCAGATAGGCATGATTATGCAGGAGAACAACCATCACAAAAATTGGAGATGCAAGTTAACTTCATTTGCTCCAGCATAACTTGACTGTGACTATTCTAATCTGCAATCTTATCAAAGCTATCATTCCAGAATTAGTCAAAAGGATGAAGTTATTCAGTTGAACTGATTCAGCTCTCACAGCTGCAGAAAACTATTTGTTATTTTTGCTGGGTTAGTGAGCTGAAGAAAGTCAGAGGCAGAAACGTGGCACGAGACTGTACGTGCACGCTGCAAGCACTCCCCCTGCTTTGGACAGTGCTGAGGTGTCTATAGCATGTCCTCTTGCATCTTATCATTTTATCACTGAACTGAGGCTATCAATTTTAGCATGCAGTAGTCTCTTAAATGAAGAAAATCCAGTTTTCTAGTGTATATAATCTCTGCAGACAACACCTCAGTATTAAGAACCCAGCATGGTTACAATCTGATGATCTCTGAGTATATTCCTTGTTCGTGCTGAGTTCAAGATTCTGGAAAATTGCCAGGATCACTATCAGTGATAAAGCAATCCAATCAATTTTATTCAAAGACCACTGAATAAAGCCTAAAACAGAGAAAGTTTTTATAGAAATACATAAACTTAATTGCCTTACCTTTCCAAAATGGAGGGGGGGGGAAAAAAAAGTTATCTTTAAACTGCAAAATTCCCACAGCACTGGATGGTCATTAAAATAACATTATGGTGGGATAATCCATAGCTGTTTTCAACATTACAATGAAATCAGAGGAAACTGAAGATAAAACAGCATAAAATTATGTTATTTAAAAATCATAAATAAATAAATAAATAAAGTAAAAATATTTACCTGGTAATCTGGTTTTGTAAAGTAATCTAAATTAGAAATGTGATCCAGAAAGATGTTGAATTCTTGAGGGAGATGTTTCAACATAAGCCTGTGCTCATACCTTTCTTTAATGGATCCCACTTGCTCCTACAAGCAGACAACATACAAAACCAAGTATTAACACATCTGCATTCTGTGCTACCACAACATCACCCTGGATCTCACAGCTATTCAGTACAAGTCTGATCAAAAAGATGGGTGGGTATATTACACTAGATAGTACTAAGAAAGGAAATTCTTTAGCATATAGCATGATAAGAGCTTCTATCACTGCCTTCACTACTTATGGAAAGAAATTTTCAAATTTGTGACCTATATGCACACATATTTGCTCTGTAAAACATTTACAAAAACCAGAGGTATAGCCTACCTTCCCACTAAGAAAGTTTGTAAAACTTGATTGTACTTGATGCCATTAACACTAAGAAGAAAGTTAAACCAGAAAACACTGTAAAATGCCATGGTAATGTGTAAAATGGAATTCTTGAGTGGAATTTTTAAGCATAGAATTTGTCTGTAGTTCTGAAGTGTATCTTCCTCATCCTCTTTGCTTTCTCTTTTATGTTTACCTTATCTTTTATTTTTCTCCAAGGCAGTTGTCCAACCACAAACTCCACCAACATGTAAAATAGAGACCAGAGGTCATCATGCCGCCCCATTTCCTGTGAAAAAGAAGTATTATTCAAATGCATTCTACAAGTACCTACAAGACAAAAAGGACTTTACTCGATTCTTCATTAACGTGAACACCTTGATTATTTATATATGTATATATATATATATACATACATACACACACATACACACACACACATAAATAAATGCAAAAAACTGTAAAACAAATTGTTATAATTAAATCCAGCAAGCATTTTAAATGGGAACAGAAATATATTTACCAGGGATTTGCTAAAAGACACAGGAAAACAAAAGCTGAATTGTGTTAAAATAAGATTTATACTGAAGAGCTAATTATTCAGATTTATTTAGTGTGTAATGTTAACATGGCATATTGTAAATTGCATATTGGACAGAACACAATAAGTTCATCTTTTCAATTTATTAACTTACAACTGGACACTAAATGTAAATATTAAAATGGCTATTATTTCTACAACAAGAACCACTTTACTCTCAACCACCGTAAATATTATTCTTTCCCAAAAGTTAGAAGCATAAATTTCCATCTAATAAGCACATATATAAGAAACCAAAAAAAGAAACAGATGTCAGATATTTTAGTAACAGCTGAAAATGGTAAAGCAAGGTGGACATATCAAATTCAGGCACTCACTCTGTTTCTGTGAGCATTGATTGACGCGTACCGCACTGTTCCTCGGAAACCAGCAACAGCGCGTGGCTGTAAAAGAACAGAAAAATAACAAGACACTCATTACCAGAAATAAATCCTATGATTACCTGCTATACAAAACAAATACAGAACGACAAAAATCATTTTGAGATTTTATTTATTTCAAAAGACTGTGTTTCTAGAAGGTATCAACGGGAATTCAAGTAGGTACAAAGTAACACAAGCCGCAGATTTCTAGTCCCTTTATTTACACCAGTTTTCGTTATGCACAGGCATCAAGTCCTGTTCATCTCACCTCTCAAGAAAGTTATATATCAGAACGACTTATATATCAGAATCTTTTTTTTTTTTCCCAATAAGGAAATTATTTCTTGATTTTAAATACTGGATATGTGAGCTTTTAACTTGTGAAAGAATCAAAAATTTAACAATTATTTTCTGTTTGCTCAAATAGACCAATATTAGGTTGTATGAGCTGATAATCAACGTGGACTAGCAGCTTCATCAATTTTTGAGAAATTCTAAGAGCAGCAAAAGCCAAATGCAAGTCTCAAAGCTGAGGCTGGGCACTAAATGGTATGGGTTCATTAAAGCCACCAATGGAAAATATTTCTCTCTTTCTAGCTTCTGAATTCCATTTTTTCCTCCCTCACACTCTAGATATTCAAATTCATAGGTTAATAATTATGTTACAGTCATAAAATATACACGCTAATAGTTTCTTTCTTTAAATAAAATACTATGCAGAGAGTAGCATAGCTGATAATATTGTCATAATTAAATATATTAACAGAGAAAAAAAATCAGACAATAATGTATTCTTTATCCAAGACATCAATTCAATCTATTCCAGACCTTTTTGATTAATCATCCTATACATAATAGAAGAAGCTATTGCCAGAACTGCTGAGTTTTTATTTCTTTTATACAGTCTCGTCTTCCCAGTCAATGATAATTCTTTTCACTTGCTCTAACAACGAATACAAGAAGCTTAAATTACCTTCCTCACCTCTGGATTGTACTTAAAAGGGTATTGGTGACCCAGCAGTTGGCCCTTCTTAAGATCTTACAAAATTTATCACTATACAATAAATGTCCGGACTGATAACGCTCATGGAGATAAGCACGCTGGATACACGATCGTTACACTATGGCAAGAAAATGCCTCAGTCTTTCCCCACAACATGAATATATTTTCTTCTTATCCACCAAAACAAGCAGCCCAGAGTTATCCTACGTGTTTCTGATGCTGCCATCACTGTCAGAAATCCTGTCAATTAAATCCATCGCTCAAAAGGATGTGCAGCAAGGTGTTAAAAAAGGATTCAAAGACCCATATAATCAACGTCTGTCAGAATTACTAAAAAGAGCTGAACTAGTGCCAGTTCAGGTGGAGAATGTTTTCCAGGATGTGCTTGATATGAGTAGATTCTCTGAGACCATATATTAGAAATAGATTATCTAAGATTTTGCACAACTTCATAATGTTTAAATGGGGCTTGGAATACATTTTGCATTTTTGGTAAGAAAGACAATTTAGTTACTGAATTATATTTTCTGATGCAATCACTATCCAAACTGTAATTTTTAGAGAAAACATTTAACCCGTATAATCACAAATGCAAATATAAACTAAGAGGAGAAGCATGATTCACTGTTATACAGGTGAATTATCACTGAATTCGGCAGTAGTTACACATCGATTTCTACTACCAAATTTCTCTGCTCATGGGGAGAAATGATTTGTTTCTCTCAATCCTACCCATAAGGTGAAAATATCCTCAGCAGCCACAGAAAAGCTACAGCATGAGGTCAGTGATTATAATTCGAATACTGCAAGTCTCCCAGTCTGATCTATTAAACCTTGTTACAAAGACATTCTCTGCAGAATTACTTTGGTATAGGCCTTTATAAAGGACTTTCACCTCCTTAGATCAAAGACAGCAAGCAAGTTCTCACTGAATAAGGCTCCATCCCTGCAAGGCTTCCCCACACCAGATTCCAAGCACACAGTTCCTGTCTCAAACCAGGTTTTCTTTAGGATGCCTGATGCTGGGCACACAGCTCTTCTGTGTGAGCACACAGCAGGGCACACAGCAACTTCTGTAGCTGCTTTAATTTTACATGCCTTCTCTGCAATAAGGAATTATTTAGATGCTCTCATAGCTGACAAGACTTTCTAACAGCTGTATCATGCCCCTATTGCCCAACGAGGAATATTTAGAAAACTTTTTCTATATTGCTAAACCTATACACAATTACTTCCAATTTCATTCCTTGAACAATACCTTGAAATGAAACGAAACATTCTAGTTGCAAAATCCCACAGTACCATGTAATTTTAGATATACTATCTCTGCATTGAACTGCAAAATTTCAGAAGAATCTTTTTTTTTTTTTTTTAAGTCTCCTTCTCTGGAGATTTATCTGAAGATACGAAAAACATCCAAATGAGAATAAAAAAAGACAGTACAGCCTCACTGCCAACACAATCATAGTTTCATTTCTGAAAAGAGGAAAACTGTTTGATGAAGAGAGTACTTTACAGAAGGGCACAGAGACTAACAGTAAAACATCAGACAGGAGGAAAAGGCACAGGTATTACTGCTAGACACATGTTTGTGAAAGGAATTCTGGACTCTAATTCAGCAACAATACCTGACTCCTTATAAACCCTCAAGAAATATTGTGGCCAATTGTAGTTGCATAAATCGAGTTAGGAGCATGTTACGTGTTAAGACATGCTGAAATACCTTTGAGGAGTTAATCTGATCACTGTTTAATAGTTGCATTACAAAAACACGCAGCAACAGTAAATTAATTATACAGTGTCACTAACAACAGGAATGATTGCCTTGGTAGCCCAAATTACATTAGCCCAATTCAAGATAGCATTTATAGCCTTCGAAGCATTTGTCAAATTCCAAAATCTGTTTCAGCGCTCTTCATACATCTCACTTTTTCCTGTATTAAAAAAAAAAAAAAAAAAAAAGGAAAACAACAAAAGGCAATAATAATACCCTGAACGATTCATTGGATTTTTCAAATAAAATCCCTCTCTGTCACTACTGATAATGATTGATATGTTTGCCTGTAGGCACCCCGACGTGTTTCCTATATGAGCTCATCTGTCAACAATTAAAAATTTCCCTCCAGATCTCATAGAAACGTAACCTAATACAACAACAATTAAGTTTCTTTTAAAGCAAACTAAATTCCTCTGTTCCTTTCCAAGGCAAAGGAAATAAATACATTTCAAGGAAAGCACTGATTATTTATTCTTGTCAGATATTGGAAGCAACCTCGCATCCAGGTGAAGTCTCCAGTGCAGAGGTCCATTAATAGCTCTCAAAAGATTTTCTACATTCAGTAATGGATTCTGCCCTTCAGCTCTTCCATATTTAACAGCCTTATTTATTATGCATTAATTCCTATTTATTTATGGCAACTACTGTTACCTTTCTTTTTTTTCCCCTTCAAATAATACAGGAAAGCTTTTGAACAGAGAAGCCTCAAATTGGCCCAAGTACAAATGGGAAATACAGAAGAGTCTATAGCAGCTAGAGTCATACTTTCTGCAGGAGAGAGAAAAAAAAAAAAAAAAACCTGCAATATTTGGCCTTGAATGCCAGGAACTGCATTAGTGGTCAGGGACACATGGATCACCATGAGTCAGTTTCTTTTTCAGAATAAGAGAGACAAGAAGGTTACAAGTTCTTTCATATTTGTCATATATCTGATTCTAAAAATTCAAAACAAGGAGTTATTCTGCAAATCTTTCACAGTATCATATGTATTTAGATCAGTTTGTATTGAAAAAGGTTCTTCTAATATAATTAGTACAACCAGTGATCTAGAAGTCAGCGCTCTCAGATTTGAACACTATCATTAAGGCCTTCAAATTAAAGTTAAGAGAAGTTATTCTGAAGGCACATGCATATGAAACATGCATTAAGATTTTAAAGGCAGGATACTCGTTTCCTATCCTTCCCCTTTAAAGGGGGAGTTTTCATAATTCTTTTACGTGATGACACTCCCAGAATATGCTTTTCTTTGTACCAAATGGCTACTACAATTCATATTTCCATACTCCTCTTTCTGTGAGCATAGGCTTTCCAACCTAATTTAATGGCTACCATGTATTAGCAGCAGTTTAAAGTAAATGAAAAATTCAGAGCTCATCTGCATAAAGAAAGATTAAAGAGCTGAAAGCCATTACAATACATTATATATCATAATTATTTTTCACTGTTTATAAAAGCTTATCAAATCCACACTTTTAGTCCTCTGTAAAAACCACATAAGACACACTAATAACAGGAAGCACTTCGTATGCAGAACACAACTCCTTCCAGCTGCCAGTATTTGGGCTCAGTTCTACCTAAACAGAGGTTTTAATTTATTTAAAAAAAAAAAAGAGTTATATTTGTGTGATCCTCTGTTAACTAGTTCCAGCAGAAGCTGGGTAGGAAACTGCATTAACACTGTCACTAAATTCTGTTCATGCAGGTTCCAACAGACATGGTAACGGATCAAAACTGAACTCCAACTGTACTTCTATAACGAACTTTGCTGCCTTCAGGATGGAGATATCTGATACACACCTGAATCAATGCCTGAGCTGCTCTGTTTTTAATCTAGAGTATTTATTTAACCAATGGAATGGTTCCAAAGCTGATTCAGAGGGAGATAAAAAGTCTGTGAGACTGAGGTGGTACCAACCTACTGCACGTCTGTCACAGACCTAAGCTTCCACCGGTGAAGCAGAGATTCCAGTAAGAGGAAAACTGTCCACCTTATCCAGCTAACACCCAGCGAGAACTTCCCCAGAGAGCAGGAATATTGCTTCAGTTATTCCTATTAAGTAAAAAAATTAAGGTTGTTTCGTACTATGTGAAGTCCTGTGTTCTTAGCAGACTGGAGGACGGAGGCCTGGTTTTCAGTTGCTTTGTACATAGCACTGTTAGTATTTACAAAGATAACACCAAGCACTGAGGAGCTATGACAAAAATTTCTTCCCAAACAAATACTCATACCTGGCTTTCTTA